TGCGTGCTCCACTCGTCCCAGGTTTGGATCCCGGGCGCGCACCAATGCATCGCTTCTCCGGCCATGCTGAGGCGGCGTCCCACATACGGCAACTAGAAGGATGTGCAACTATGACATACACCTATCTACCGGGGCTTTGGGGAGAAAAAGGAGGAGGACTGGCAATAGATGTTAGCTCAGGGCCAGTCTTCCTCAGGAAAAAGAAGAGGATTGGCATGGATGTTAGCTCAGGGCTGATCTTCCTCACAAAAAAAAAAAAAACAGTATATAAAAGACTTTTTAATCACTTTAAAAGATGACTGACTGTCTAAAGCAAAAATATTAACAATGTATTATGAGGTTTCTAAGTAAAAATGTATGACTACAACATCACACAGAATGGGAGAGAGGAATAGAAGTATATTGTTATAAGACTGTGAGGCTACATGTAAAATAGTATAATGTCATTTGAAATTAGTCTGTGATAAGCTGAAGATGTATACTGCGTATTTCACAAAGATTACATTGCCCGAGTGGCTGAACTGGACCCATGGGAGCTCTGGCTTCCCCAGCAGCTGCATAGAGAGGCTGTCTGATGCAATACGGTAACCACTGAAACTAAAATAGAGGTAATACTAATAAGTAAATAGTAGAGATAAAGCAAAATAAAAATTCTCCACTAATCCAAAAGAGATAAAAAGAAGAGAAAAAAGAACAGATAGGACAAACAGGAAACAAGCAGCAAAATAATAAATTTGTCTCCAAACTTACAAAAATGATGTTAAATTTAAGTGATTGAACTATTTCAATTAAAAAGTAGAGGTTTTCACATTAGACAAAAAAGACTCAACCATACGTTATCTGTAAGAAATCCACTTTAAATAGAAATAGGTTAAAAGCAAAAAGATGGAAAAAGATATACCATGAAAACATTAATTAAAAGAAAGCTGGAATAGCTATATTAATATCAAAATAGACTTCAGAACAAAGAGTACTACCAGGGATAAAGAGAGACATTACATAATCATAAAGGAGTCAATCCCTCAAGAGGCCATAAAGATCCTAATATACACGCACTTAATAACAATTTTTCAAAATTCATAAAGCAAAAATCAATAGAACTGAAAGGAGAAAAAAACAAATGCAAAAGTATAGCTGGAGACAACACCGCTCTCTCACTGTGTCACTGACAAAGCTTTTGAATGTTATATCTCCATCCCATTTTCCCATTAGCCCTATGATTTTTAATACACTATTTTGTAGAGAGCAGTGATTTTTTAGGAATGCACATATTGTTATAAGAGAATTCACTCTATTAGTATACCTTCATTCCATTCCACTTGTTTTTAGCCTCTCATCAAAACAGATACAACCTTTCCGTGTTGCCTAGATTTCTAATTGTTACATTCTCTTCTGTCATCTAATTTGCACATTTGCTTTAAAATTAGTTCTTCAGTTAAATTCAGAGTTCACCACCAATCTTTTTACTATGGTTTTTGTCACTTCTTGATTATCTGATACTCATCCTCTAACTGAGGTTGTCTGAACCAAGGTTCAGAGTTCCTACCTATTCAAAAAAGATTTACTCTTTTTTCGTTAAAGAATCATCTTTTCAATTGGGTATAAAATTCTTAATTTGACGCCTTGAGGATTTTGTAGGAATTGCTCTGCTGACTTTTAGCAGCAAATTTTGCTATGGAAAAGCCTGAGGCCAGCTGGACTTGTTGTTATTTACTGGCTGTCATAACGATTCTTTGTCTTTAAACTCTAGTGACTTTGAAATTTTTATTTTATTAGGCTATATCATAATGTTCACAATTTTAGGTCCATTTCCCTGATGGGGGTGTGCTCTGCTAAGCAGATTCAATTGTACCATTTTATTCCCCCCCAAAAAGGTTTTTGGAATATTTAAAATACCTGTTCTATTTCTTTGATTTTCTAGTTTGGGGAATGAATTTTAAGTATGATATGTATGTGGAATCTCTTTTATTCTCTTCTCTATGTAATCTCCAAGTTTTATTTATCTCAGTTTCTCCTTGCTTACTTTTCTCATTTCTTTTTGAATATAATTTCAGCAGCACCTATTCTTCCTTGAGATTCCTCCAATTTGCTTTCTTTACTGTGATTTTATTTTCTGTTCCAATTTTTTCTGAGTTTGACTTCCCACAATTCATTTTCTACTATTGCCTTATTAATATCTTTCTTGAATTCTTGTATCACAGAGGTAATCAATTCAATGAGTTCTCCTTTTTGAAATTCATGGTTTAATATTTGGTCACATTATTTATATACTTTATGACTACTTTGATCAGATGACTACTCAATCACCTACTATTTTTTCTTCTGAACTTTTTCACTCCTTTTTTCTTGCAATAGTTTTGTATGCATTTTGTGCTGGCATAAGCTTCTAAGGAACAGCTCACTGCATGAGGTTTACCTGGGAGAGCAAATAGAGCCATGTCTTAGGCTAACAGGACAATTCCTTATGAACAAGTGTCTTGCCCATGTATCAAACTCAGTTTATAGATCAACCCAGATCTGCCTTCCTTTCTTACCGGAGCAGCCTTAGCAATGGCTTGCTCTTAAAGTCAGGTCATTGGGGTTGGCACTGCTGCAGCTACCGACTGAAGAACACGAAGTATTGTACTGAGTTCACAGAGACCACATTGCCCAAGTGGCTGAACTGGACCCACGGAGGCTCTGGCTTCTCCAGCAGCTTCCTAGAGAGGCTGTGTGATGCAATCCAGAAATGAGAGGGAGTTAAAACTCTACAGAACAGTCTCATCTAGTGAGAGAGAGGAACAGGGAAACAGCAGATACATCATGTTCCCCTCCCCCTTTCTGACAGGCTGTTCTGGGTAATCACTGTGGTTCACATAAAGACTCTGAAGACATCCTGCTAGACCGAGCAATCTGATAAATCAGATATGCCTATTAGAGAGCTATAGCTAAATAAGTAATTGCCCCCTTGGACTTTCCCTTCCTCCTAACCAGCCTTATTCCCCCTGTTCCCTCATTTTTGTAGGAGGTCTGCACATCCTGACAGATTATTATGAAGTAAGATTTTGCTTCAAATTCTGTGTTCTAGGAATACCCACTAGGATAGCATGTATGTTTATTTCTCTGCATATATGTGTCTGTGAGGTTTTTTATCCCAAATGGAAAGTCTCTCTTTTCTTGCATTGTCACAGAAACAGAGTGCTACTGAAAAACATGGCTTGTGTGTCTGTTTCCACACACAACCTTACTACATCTGCTTTGCAAAACCAAATTGTATCCAAGGAAGCTCCAGCAAACCTGTGCACAGCACTGCTGTTAATCTAAAGATTTAGCTTTTCACACCTCAGAGTATGTACCTTGTCCCTGAAAAATACTTTGCCAGTTCCTCTGAGCATCAGAAATGCTCTTGTTTTCTATCCATCTGCTGACACATACACTCCTACTTGATTTTTGCAGTGATTTTGCAGCTTTTACACTTGTATTGATTTGGGATACCAGATATCCTCTAGTGTCATAAAATGGAGTCTGTGTTGCTCATTTTCCTTAATGTCTCTGGACGATTTGCAGACAGAGATAGAGAAAATGCTGACTTCACACCTGCTTCTTCAAACAAGTTCACTCTCCTTGCAACACTGTCTTCACTTGGCTACAGGATACCACATTCTGTTTCCCCCTCACTCCCAAAATGCTTCTTCTCTCTTCTTTGCTGGGTTTTCTCATCTTCATGACTTCTGAAAGTTAGTGTGCCCAGGGGACAGCCTTCAGACCACTCAAATCTGTCCATATCTAGCCCCCTAACAAGAGGTTATGTAATCCCTTAGCTTTAAATACTAAATTTAAAAACTTTAAATATACCATAAGCTGGTAATTTATATCTACATATACCAAATATAATTTATATATATAACTTATAATTTTTATTTACCAAACAAATTATCTCCAACCTGGACTCTCTCCTAAATTACCTCTGCTTATATATCCAAATGCTTATTCACATGTAAACTTAGATACTTTATAGTCACCTGAAACTTGGTACGTGTAATCTAAACTCCTAACATCCCCTGCAAAACTGTTACTCTCCAATATTCCCATCTTGGCAATTGGAACCTACTCATTCAATTGCTGGATAAAGTCTCTGGAGTCATTCCTGACTCCTTTCTTTCTCTCACATTCTTTATCCAACTCAACAGCAAATCTTATAGGTCCCACTTTCAAAATATATCCAGAAGCCAATTGCTTTTAATCTTCTTCACCACTTCCAACCAAGGGTGAGCCACCATCACCTTTTCACAGATTGAAATACTGTCCTGACTGATGTTCCTGCTTTCATCGCTCTGCTCCCTATAGTATTTTCTTTGCCCAGCAGCCAAAGAAATCAATTTAAAAGATAAAACAGCACATGTTGTTTATCGGGTAAAATTATACGAATTGCTTCTCATTTCACTCAGAATAAAATCAAAGTCCTTATCGTGGCCCAAATGTCCCTACATAATTTGAGCTCCCATTACCTCTATAATGCTAACTTTTACCACTCTTCACTCACTCATTTCCCCCACTCCACACTGATACTTATGTGTGCTCAAAAACACCAAATACATTCCTGGCTCGGTGGACTGACATCTGATGTCACCTCTGCCATCAAGACTCCCCATGATTCTCACTCTCATTTCAATCAAGTTGATGTCATCAAAAAGGCCTTTCTGAACCTCCTTTCTAACGTATAACACTCCATCATATTTAAAATTCCTTAATTTCCTTGCTATTTTATTGGCATATTATATGTGTGTACGTATGTGGTGGTGTTTGTTTTTTATCTTCCTCTCATCATAACATAAGCTCCATGAAGTCAGGGAAAATATTTAGTTCACTGATGTATTTCCAGCACCTAAAACTTGAGTGACACACAGTAGGTTCTCAATATTTGCTGAATTAAGAAATGCACATATGCGCAGACACTCAAGAATAAAAAGAATGCATACTGTGTCACCTGGTATCCATCTGTTTAATGCACACTAACTCACCTGGCTGGCTCTGGCTTAAAGACTCTTCCTCTAATATCCATGGCTGCTCTCCTTGTTCCAACTTGAAGATCACTTCTGGTTTAGGGATGCAATATCCTGTGAATGGGAAATGACATGGGAATTAGGCTAGGCTCATGGTCTTCAGGGCCTCTGAAGAAGACAGAAAATGAAGCTTTAGGGGTCAATTTCAATCTTGAAAAAGAAAACAACATTCTTTAGGGAGTTTCAACAGTCCTTCTGCTTAATACCCTGAATCTCAAACCTAAATATCGTTAAATTCAACAAAGTTTCCACAGTTTTCAGCAACCAAGAAAGGATGTGCATACTATGAGTCTACATGGAAAACCATCCCTACCGACTGAGATGAGGTGACTATAGTTCTCCAGCATCACGTCCCTGTACAGTGTCCTCTGAGCAGGGTCCAGGTGCTGCCATTCCTCCTGGGTGAAACCCACGGTTACATCCTCAAACGATAAGGATCCCTGAAACAGCACATTTACATTCAAATTTAAGTAATCAGAACTGGAAGACATGGAAAAGCTGTATGAGAATTGTTATGATGTTCACTATTCATAGTTACCAGACACTGTGTTTATGGGATGTCTACTTTTGCATTATACTTGCTTGGAGAAAAAATCATAATAGATATTCTCTACCACTATAATAAGTTATTGGTGTCCCACTATGTGCCTACATGCCATAGAGAACCCTCCTACTTTGGGGGAATCTGAAGACAAATAAAACAATGTTATTGTTCTTAAGGAGCATTAGTCTGATAAACAGACACAAACACATAAGCATATAACTACAACAAGAGTTACTACAGTGAAAAGATGTACAAAGCTGACTGAGGTTACACAGGGGAGAAAAGGTCTATTCCTGCTATTTGGGTGGGTGTTTTCACTGAAGAGGTAAAGCTTTGAGTCGTTAAACAATAGAGTAATATTCATGCACCCGGAGCAACAGCATAAGCACAGACAGATCTCAAATACGTAGTTAAAGGAAAAGCAGTCAGCACGCAGGAGGGTACCTTTTGGGACTGTGATAAGATAAAGAGCTGCGGAGGTAGTCAGGGATAAGTTACTGAATAATTCTGGACATGACTCCTGTAGAACACGGATGTCCAAAGTGTTGAGTTACTCTTCCCATCTGGGAAACCGTGTAAACTCATACTGTCAATTCATATATTAAATTTCATTCTTAATTCTTTAGATTAAAATAAATGTAATTAGGCATCTGAACATTTTCTTCCCATACCTGAATGGACTATCTTGTACAGTTCCTATGTTATCCAGCCCCCCCTTAGGAGCTGACTACTGTGGATGATGATGAGCCAACAAATAGACATAAGCGGAGAGAGAAGTATCGTTCCCAGGTTATCAAAACAAATAGCTGGTAAATACTCATGGCATATACTGAGAATGGGAAAACACGGGAAAGAATAGCTCAAATAGAGTAAAAATGAACTAAAGCAATAAGGCAAGAGAAGGATTGAGAAAAACCAATAAATGAAGGGATACACTATATTCATGGATTGGACAACTCAACATTATAAAAATCTCAATTCTCCCCAAATTGGTTTATCAATTCAAGCCAATCCTAATCAAAAACTTAGCAGCTGTTTTTGTAGAAACTGACAAGTTGATACTCAAACTCATACAGAAATTCAAAAGATCAAGAATAGCCAAAGCAGTCTTGGAGAAGAAAAATTAACTGGAGAAACTCACACTAATTGTGGTAGGCAGAATTCTAAGATGACTTCCAATGACCCACACCCTTATATAATCTCCTCCTTTCAAGTATGGGAGAGACTTGTGCTCCTGTGATTATGTTACATTCTAAGGCAAAATAAATTTTGCAGGTATAATTCAGATCTCTTAATCAGCTGACTTTGAGTTAATCAAAAGGGAGATTGTCTGGGGTGGGCCTGACTTAATCAGGTGAGTTTTTAAAAAGAAGGTAAAATATCAGAGAGATGCTTCTACTGGCCTCAAAGAAGAAGCAAACTACTGTGAGTTCTACACCTACATAGAAATGAATTCTGCAATGTGTATGGAGGGGACTCAGATAAGGAGTCACAGGTGACACCCTGATTGCAACCTTATGCCTAAGCAGAGGACCTAGCTAACCTAGTCCCAGACTCCTAATCCACAGAAACTGTGAGATAATAAATTTCTGTTGTTTTAAACTGCACAGTTTGTGGTAACTTATTATGAAGTAGTAGAAAACTGATATACTAGTGGATATAAAGATTTATATAAAGTTAGAGTAATTTAAGAGAAGTTGGCATTGGTGAAAGAATAAACTGAAAGACCAATGGAACCAAATTTATAGTCTAGAAACAGACTCACAAATATGGACACCTGGTTTATAAAGAAAAGCGTCACCATAGAACAACGAGAAAAGGACTGTCTTTTCAATAAACTGTGAAGGGTTAAATGGTTATCTATATGGAAAAAAACAAACTTGACTTCAATCTCACATAATTGTGAAAATCAATTCATGTGGACTGTAGACTGAAACGTGACCAGTAAAACAAGAGAACTTCTAAAACATAACACTGAAAACTATCTCCATGACCTCTAGACAAGCTAAGATGTTTTTAAGCAAGACACCAAAAACACTAACCATAAAGGAGAAGATTGAAATAAACTGGACCACATTAAAATTAAGAACTTCTATCAATCAAAAGGAAACCATTAATTAAAAAAAAAAGCGCAAATCAGCAAGTAGGAAATTTGGCAACATATTGAACTGATATAGGGATTATATCCAGAATATATAAAATACTCCTAAAATACATAACAATGAGACAACATAATGGAAAAATGGGAAAGGCCTTGAATAGTCACTTCACAAAAGAAGACATCCACACAGCCAATAAACATGCTAAACCATGCTCAACCTAAATAGTGAACCACTGGATGAAAAGTTATTGGGAAAGAGGATGTCCACATAGTCTCAAAGTTTCACCTGACAGATTATTAGTTTACTAAAGGGGGAAAGAAAGTCTACTTTTCAGATGGAGATGTTTGATGGCATAACCAATAATGGTACAATAAGACCTTATAAGAAGTATGCAGTAAATGGAAATAATAATAATATATAAACTGAATCTAATCATGAGGAAAAACATATCAGTCAAATACAGATGTGAGGGCATTCCACAACAGTGCTTCTCAACACAGTTGCACACTGCCTGGGTGTCACCCCCAGAGTTTCTGACTTAATTGATATGGAGTGTAACCTGGGTATAGGAATATTTAGAGAGCTCCAGTTGATTGTAAAGAATAGCTAAGTTCAAGAATAACTATTCAACAAGACATGTGACCAGGACTTTTAAAAAATGTCCATATTATGAAAGAATACAAAGGCATGATCTTTGATTGAATCCTTAACCCAATAAAGTTATAAAGGACATTTTGGGGATAAAAGGGATATCACAGATAAAGACAGAATATGTGGGGAAAAGGCTTATAACAGTTGAATCTAGGTGAATGAGTATTTATTGTATGTTTTTAACGAAAAATACTTAGGCATGAAGTTATAGCAAGAAATAAACAAAATCTACATAAAGAAAACTATCAAATAACTCCTTAAAAAATATCTGAAGAAACTGAAAGCTAGCCGATGTTCTCAGATAGGAAATCTTAGCATCAAAAAGATGTCAGTTCATAATGTTAATAGAGCAATTTAATACAGTCTCAAAAAAATACCATCAAGCTTTTAACCTGGAGAAAGACAAGTTGATTATATATTTTAACTGGAAGAATAAGCAAGGAAAGCCAAGAAAAACCTGAAAAAGGAGCAATGAGGAGAGCTAACTTATCAGACATAAACATATTACAAAGCTCCCATAATTAAAATAATGTGGTAGAGGCAGAAAAATAGAAAGAGATATCAGAGGAAATAGGCTCAAATGCACCTGGAATTTAGTAAATGATACAGTGTCATAAAGCAGGAAAAAGAATTTTTCCTTAAGAAATGGTAGGGTAACTGAACAGATAGGTTAAAAAAGATAAAACAGGATTCATCCTTATCTATACATCAGGAAAACTCCACATGGATCAGTGAATGTCAAATGTAAAAAAGAGATAATACAAAACTAGGAAAAAAATTGGGTGAATTCCCCCATGACTAAAAAAAAGAATAAAACTTTCCTAACCGTGACTAAAAAGCCAGATGCAATAAAAGAAAATATCAACAAATTTGACTACATAAAATTAGAAATTAAAAAAATAAAACCCTCTGCATACTTAAATAAATAAACAAAACAAAATTAAAAAAGACAACCTAGGAGTATGTATTTGCAACTTACATGACAAAGAAAGGGTTAATATCCCTATATAAAGAGTTCCTAAACATATAGAAGGGAAAAAGCCAACAACCGTATAGAAATATGAACAAGAATCCTAAACAGAAAATTCACAGAAGAGAAATGCAAACGGCACTAAAACTTATGAAATCAGGCTCATCCTTTAAAATAAAAAGAAAAATAAGTAAAAATTACACTAAACCATTTCACTTCTATTGGACTTGCAAAAATCCAAAAGAAAAACAACACATATACTTAGTTTAATTTGCTATAGGCATAAAAACATCCTCATATCCTGTTGTTGAGAATGCAAAATGATCAACTATTATGAAGTGAAATATGGCAATATTTAGCTAAATTACATATGAATTTACCACTTGATCCAGAAATCTCACTTCTGAGAATCAACCACAAGGACATACTGGCCAAAAAAAAGAAAAGATGTAGGCACAAGGCTACCTCACTACTTACATTTACAAAAGACTAGAAACAACCCAAATGTTGATTAATAAATGTTGAATGTATTATGGTACACTCACACTGGAGTGCTAAACAACTGAAAAAAGAACTAAGGAATATCTCTATGTAGTGCCACAGAATGAACTCTACAATCTATTATTATGTGACAAAATGAAGTTTAAGAAATTCAAGTATAATATGGTAGCTTTCATTTAAAAAACGAACAAAGAAAGATCTACAGATGGATCTGATTATATTAAAAATAACAATACAGGGGCTGTCCTGGTGGCATAGTGGTTAAGTTCACGCGCTCCACTTCACGGGGGAGGCCTAGACTTTGGACTTACTAGACAAAGGTTATAAATCAACTGTCTTAGACAAGGTTAAAGAGGTAAAGGGAAAACAGGGACAAAAAACTAAAGGAAACCAGAAGAGTGATGTTCCACCAAAGAGAATATCAACAAAGAGACAGGAAGTATAAAAAGGAATCAAATAGAAATCCTGAAGTTGAAAAGTACAATAATTGAAATAAAAAATTCACTAGAGGGTTCAACAGCAGATGTGGACAGAAAAAAACCCAGCAAACCAGAAGATAGGTAAATTGAAATTATACAGTCTTGAGAAGCAGAAAGAAAAAGAATGAAGAAAGATAAACAGAGCCTAAGAGACATGTGGAACACCATCAAGCATACCAACATTTGCATACTGGAGGCCTCAGAAGGAGAGGAAGGGGCAGAAAGAATATTTGAAAAAATAATGGCTGAAAACCTCCCAAATTCGATGCAAGACATGAATCTACACATCTAAGAAGCTCAAAAACTTCAAATAGGATAAACACAAAGAGATCCACACTGAGACAAAGTATAATAAACAAAGATAAAAACAAAAAGAGAATCTTGAAAGAAGAGAGAAGTGACTCATCAAGTACTGGAGATCCTCAAAAAGATTAACAGCCAATTTCTCATTAGAAATCATGGAAGAAAAGAGCCAGTGGATGACATATTAAATTGCTACAAGAAAAAACTTTCAATGAAGAATTCGCTATTCAGAAAAGCTATTCTTCAAAATGAAGAAATTAAGCCACCTGCAGATAAACAAAAGCTGAGGGAGTTCCTTGCCAACAGATCTGTCCTACAAGAAATGCTAAAAGGAGTTTTCAGGCTAAAACGAATGAAAGACGTTAACCCAAAGCCATTAGAAGAAATAAAGAACACCATTAAAGTAAACTACAAAGGTAAATATAAAAGAGGATATTATTATATTTTTGGTTAATAACTCCTCTTTTTTTCCTATCTGACTTGAAAGACATAGGCATAAAACAATGATTACAAGTCAATGTTAATGGCCACATGTATTCCTAGGTCTTCTGTAACAAACTCCCACAAGCTGGTGGTTTATAATGAGAAATTTATTCTTTCAGTTCTGGAGGCTAGAAGTCTGAAAGCAAGGTGCCAGCAAGACCATGCTCTCTCTGTGACTCTGGACAGAATCTTTCCTTGCCTCCTCCTAGCTTCTGATGGTGGCCAGTAATACTTGGCATTCCTTGGCTTACAGGTGCATTACTCCAATCTCTGCTTCTGTCATTACATGGGTGTTTTCCCTGTTTGTCTCTATCCTTTTGATATTGTAATGTAGTAAGAAAGGTATATTTTGGTCTTTGTCTCTGGCAGGAGGAAGGAAATATAATAAAGATTAGAGCAGAGATAAATGAATAGAATAGAAAAATAGAATTAACAAAACCACAAGTTGTTTCTGTGAAAAAAAAATAATTAACAAAATTTACAAACCTTTAGCTAGACTGACAAAACGAAAGAGAGAAGACTCAAAATATTAAAATCAGAAATGAAATGAAGACATTACTACCAACCTAACAGAAATAAAAAGGGTTACAAGAGAATACTATGAACAATCATATGCTGAAAACTTAGATGAAATGAATGAATTCCTAGAAACACACAAATTACCTACTGACTCAGGAAGAAATACAAAATGTGAATAGTAAGCAAAGAGATCATCTTTTCAGGATAAAATCACTTAATAAACTAGGAATAGAAGGGAACACCACCAGATGATAAAAGGCATTTATGAAAAACCCACAACTAACATATTTAATGGTAAAAGACTGAAAGCTTTCCCACTAAGATCAGGAAAATGACAAGAATATCCACTTGGGCCACTTCTATTCAACATCGTAAAAGTCCCAGCCAGAGCAATTAGGTAAGAAAAAGAAATAAAGGCATCTAAATTAGAAAGGGTGAAGTAAAACTATCTCTATTTGTAGATGACACAATCTTATAAAGAGAAAATCCTAAAGAAGCCACAAAAAAACTATTAGAGATAATAGACAAATTCAATAAAATTGTAGAACACAAGATTAACAGATAAAAATCAGTTACTTTTCCATACACTAATAATGAACAATCTAAAGTAAATTAAGAAAACAATTCTATTTACAATAGCATCAAAAAGAATAAAATACTTAGGAATAGAGTTAACCAAGGAAGTCCAAGACTTGTACACTGAAAACTACAAAACTTTGCTGAAAGAAATTAAAGAAGATCTAAATAAATGGAAAGACATTCCTTGTTCATGAAATGTAATACTTAATATAGTCAAGACTGCAATATCCTCCAGTGTTTACAGATTTAATGAAAAAGCCAATAGCCTTTCTGGAAGAAATGGACATGATCTTCAAATTCACATGGAATTGCAAGAAACCTCGAAGAGCCAAAACGATCTTGACAAGGAAGAACAAATTGGAGGACTCGCATGTCCTGATTTTAAAAGTTGCTACAAAGCAAGAGTATCAAAAAAGTATGGAACTTGCATAAGGATAGACATATAGATCAACTGACTGGAATTGAGAGTTCAGAAATAAACCCATGCATCCATGGTCAACTTATTCTCAACAAGGGGGCCAAAACCATTCAATGGGAGAAAAAATAGTCTCATCAACAAATGGTGTTGGGTCAACTGGATATCCACATGCAAATGAATGAAACTGGACCCCTTCCTCTTACACACAAAAATTAACTCAAAATAGATCATAGACCTAAATATAAGAGCTAAAACTATAACACTCTTAGAAGAAAATATAGGAGTAAATCTTAATGATCTTAGATTTCACAATGAATTCTTAGATATGACATCAAAAGCACATGTAACAAAAGAAAAATAGATAAACCAGACTTCATCAAAATTAAAACATTTTTGAATCAAGGAATATACTATCAAGAGAATAAAAAGTCAACTTACAGTATAGGAGGAAATATTTGAAAATCATATGTCTGATAAAAGTCTTATACTCCAATTACTCTTACAATAAACAACCCAATCAAAAACTGACAAAGGACTTGAATAGACATGTCTGCAAAGCAGATAAACAAATGTCCAATAAGCACATAAAAAGGTGCTCATTAGTCACTAGGGAAGAGCAAATCAAAACCACAATGAGATTCTACTTCATACCCACTACGATGGCTACAAATAAAAAAACAGACAGTAACAAGTGTTGTTGAGGATGAGGAGAAACTGGAACTCTCATACATCGCTGGTGGAAATGTAAAATTGTGCAGCCATTGTGAAAAAGAGTTTGGTGGTTTCTCAATAAGTTAAAAATATAATTAACATATGACCTAACATTTCTACTTCAAGGTAAATACCCAGAACCATTGAAAACAGATGTTTAAACAAAAACTCGTCCACAAATGTTGATAGCACTATTGACAATAGCCATATGGAGGAAACAACCCAAATGTCCATCAACTAACAAATGGATAAACAAAATATGGTACATCCATAGAATGGAATATTATTCAGCCATAAAAAGGAATGAAATCTTGGTGAAAGGGTACAAACTTTCAGTTATAAAATAAATAAGGCCTGAGGACCTAATGTATAACATGCTGACTGCAGTTGATAACACTATATTATATAATTGAAATTTGTTAAGACAAAATTTAAATGTTCTCACCAAAAAAAAAAAAAAGGTAAATATGTAAGCTGATGGACCTGTTAATTAACTGGATGGGAGAAATCCTTTCACAATGTATACATATATCAAATCATCATGATGGACACTTTAAATATCTTACAATTTTGTCAATTATAACTTAATAAGACTGAGAAAAAAAGGAATGAAGTCTGATACATGCTACAATATGGATGAACCTTGAAACATTATACTACGTAAAAGACGCTGCAGAAAAACACATTGTATGGTTACATTTATATAAAATATCCAGAAGAGGTAAGTCCATAGAGACAGAGAGTAGATGAGTGGTTGCCAGAGAAGTCAAGGGGGAATGGAGAATGACTTTAAAGGGTATTAGGTTTTCTTTTGGGATGATGAAAATGTTCTGGAACTCAATAGTGATGATGGTTGCCAAACATTTTAAATGTACTAAACGCCACTGAAGTGTACACTTTAAAATGGCTAATTTTTTATGTGTATTTAACCACCATAAACAAATATATATCATTGGTGACTTTTACAGACCAAATTCCAGCAACTAGTGAAGAAAAATTCATTCTGCATGAAGCAGATTGGAATTTGATTAAGTGCAGAAACAAGTGTCAAAAAATCATCTCTTAACTGAACATTCTACCTACTGAGCAAGACTAAGAATTTTGGAAAGTTATTTTAAGGACATGCATTCAATTTATTCCCTAGATGTTCTAGGTTTTATCCAGGAAAACAAAACAAGGCCATCAGAAAGCTGTCTACATAGGCTTCAGTAATATGGTCTCCTGAAAAACTTCATTAACTGAGTTCTGCTTGGTACCCTGTCTTTTGCTTCCACTGAAGAAGAATTATAGGCATTTATTTCATGGTTGCCACCAGAAGGTTATTCATAATTTACATGAAAAAAAAAAACAAAAGGTTTTTTTTTTAGCTTTCAGTGCCAGAAAGTCTTTAGGTTCCAAAAGGAATCAGGTAGCTTTATTCATATCATTAATGAAAGCCATGTAACATACAGTCTTTTCTTTGGCCATGGCTACCAGAACAGTCAGAAATATAAGCAACTCAAATTTGATAACTGTCTAACTTCATATGATCTGTGTGTGTGTGCATGTACCTTGCCAACTCTGTCCTAGTGATCTGCTCTTCCAGTGATACTGGCCTGTAGACCTCAATATCAGCATCACCTGCAATCTTGTTCAAAATGGAAATTCTCAGGCCCCATTCTGTGTTTTAACAACTTTCCAGGTGACTTTAATGCACACTAAAGTTTGAAAACCATTGTGCTATGCTGTTTCCCTCAGGTTCATTTTATCTATTTCTACTTTAACATTTCAAGTATAAGAGTCATGAACCTCATAAAATCCATTGTAAAACAAAGTGTAGAATGACTTTAACAACTCACATGGGATTTCTTCATAGTTTGCTGGTCTTGGAAAAATGTAGAAATCTCTGAAGGTACAGCTAGGATAGAAAAGAAGGAATGAAATCATTAGAGATATAGATTGCCTTGCTATTCCTGGATTTGCCTATTTAAAAAGCCTCAAACATCGCCTGGGTAAAATGCCTCTCTGTGGGAGAATATCCTTTGCAGCCTGGAGAAGGGCAGGAAGGGACATATGAAGACGTACCCACATGTGCATGTGTGACTGTGATATGGTCAAGCAGAGTTCGGGTGTGCAGTTTTTTGTTGGGTGAATGTAATTGTTTTCTCTTGATTTTTTAAACGATGTATATACTCCATTTTATTTCAAAGAAATAAAAAATATTATGAGAAAATTGGTTAAACAAATTGCAATACACTAAGTGAAGGAACACTAAGCCTTCATCAAAAGTTACACATCAAAAGTTGTACCGTACATGTATATTTCCTTGTTTTCTCCTTGAGGTAGAGAACTCACCCAAAGCTATGAAAAAAGGCATGGAGGCACTTTAAGGTAAGGTTATCTTTTTAATTGTTGTTCTAAAGTGTTTGTAGTTTCTCAAAAGGTTGCCTTTTAAGAAATGTGTTCTAACAGTGATGATGTGGTCAGCACTGGTCTGGGCGTCAGGAGACTCAACATCTACTCTTGGCTCTGCCATCAATACAAAGCCAGGGAACTTCACTTATACTTTCAGTACCTATTTTTCCCAACTTTCAACAAGACAAATAGAAAACTCTTCTTGTACTGCTGTGTATAAGGAAATCATCAGCATATCTTTAGATGCCAGATTCATTGTGTGAGAAGAGCTCAGAATGTGGGAAGAGTGAGTGAAAAACAAAGAGAGTGGGGGTTGAATTGGGATTGGTGAGACAGAATTTATTCAGATCTAGTTTTAAAGGTCCTTTCCCCACATCATATCCTCAAAACCCCTCCAATACACAGGATGCTATATTTCCTGTGTAGCTTAACCATTCTTCATTCATCTCAGCCCAGTTTCCCTCTCTTCTGAAACCTGGTCCAGACTTTCCTCTATTTGGCAGCCTGTGATGGCTTCTGCATGTGGCCACATTATCCAAATATCACTCGTTCTGAGTAGGCTGCGCAAACCTAGGATCTGCTCCTTTCTGGGAACTAGGGCTCCTGCTCAGAACCTCACTCAAATGATGGAGTGGTTTTCTCCCACGTGGGATTCTGTTCCTAGAGACTCCTCCTTCTTACTTCACAAGAGGTGCTTGTTTCAAGGCAGATGTGAAATGCGCCTAAGGGACAAATTCATTTTAATTGGATCCTTCACCCAGACCCACAGTTCAACTCTTGAGTCTTCCTTATCCCATAAAATCCGAGGTCGGACCTTCAATAAACTCAAATCAAGGCTGCTCAGAACACAGACAAAGCCAGACTGTTACAGAACTAACTCAGAAACAATCATACCCTCTGTCCCAAGGACTCTGAAGACATCCAGAAATCCCAGAAACAGAACTGCTACATGGTAAGATTCAATAGCTCAAATTATTTCTTCACAGGTCAAATTATTTTCTGCCAGCTGCTATGGAGGATGCAACGCTGGCTTTTATAACCAAGATAGTAAATTAGAAAGACCACGACCTTTAGAGAAACTTCTAAGATTGTATTCTAGTTTATCTGCTAGTTTTGTGAGTTTGGGTATATATCTGTCCACTCAGTCTCAGTTTTCTCATTTTTTACAGAGGGGAGAGTTATACCGACCTGAGTGAGAGGTTGTGAGCATAAACTGATGAGTAAGAAGAATGAGTATTTCCATTAACAACAGTAGTTAATATTTCCTGCCAGGTACTGTGCTGCGGCATTTAATTCTCTCAACAACCCCAGGAGGCACGTCTTGTTAATTATCTTCAGTTACACAGACAAGGAAATCGACTCTCACGTAGGTTAACTATCTTTCCCAGATAATTCTCACATACAGTTCTGCTCGGCACCAAAACCCTGAGCCCCGCCCCCTCTCCCGCTGAGCGCACCCATCACGCATGCGCATATGCCCCACCCTCCCGGCTGCAACCCTCCCAGGCAGCCGGCATCGTGGAGGGTTCAGACTCAGGCGAACGGTGCAGTTTCCCCGGGGACTGGCGTCCCCAAGCCCGATGCCAGCCCCTTCCCCTGAAGGAGTATTCCCCGCCCCGCTGTCCCTTCTCCCCGCCGAGGCCACCCCCACCCGCCCTCTGGGGTTTTTGCCCGGGGTCCCGCAGTGGTCCGCGAGGCTCCTCCCCATCGCCGGGCACCGCTGTACCCCGCCACCGCGCAGGGCCCTCCTCGGCCCTCGCCCAACCCTCGGTCCACGCCTGCCGCTAACACTCGAGCCGCAGACCTGGTGGCTCCTGAACGTCTCCCACAGTAGGCCCAAGAATCTGGAGACGGAGCCCACGTGGTATTGCACATGCGCAAAAGGAGTCGTAGGAGACCCACCCCCGCGCCGCCGACCATGCGCAGCGAGCTCACAAACTTCCCCACTCCATTTCCCAAAAGCCTGCTCGCCCGGGACCATAGAGAATTTCTGAAACGTTACTGTTTGTTTAGCGATCAGAGACCGTGGCCTAGGGTTATCACTTCTACTGAATGCAAACCATAGACTACGAAAAAATACTTGTCAAACACATATCTGATAAAGAACTTGTGCTCCAAACATACAAAGTAGTCCTAAAACTCAACAATAAGAAAACAACCGGATTAAAAGTATATTGTGAGAAGAGAAATGTAAATATTTAAAACATCACATAATATACCATTATGACATGTAAGAATAGAAAACATTTAAAAAGCTATATGAAAAGTTAAATAGGAACTATCCAGGGTTGATGTGGATTTGGGAAAATATTTACTTCTACAAAATCTTATTGTAATACAAACTTTCTAGAAGCTTCTTTATATCATACTTCAAAATGAGCATGCTCTTAATCTAGCAAGCCTACATTTAAGACAGTGCTAGTAAAATAATTGTCAAATGATATACTGTATTAGTGAGGGTTTTCCAGAGAAACAGAACAAATAGGATGAGAGAGACAGAGACAGAGATTTATTTTAAGAAATTGGCTCAGACATGATTTACCAACCCTCCTTGGTAAATCCAAAATCTGCAGGGTAGGACAGCAGGCTGGAGATACAGGGAAGAATTGCAGTTTAAGTCCAAAGACCACCTGCTAGCAGTATTCCTTCTTCTTCTGGGTAGGTCACTCTTTGTTCTACTATGGCCTTCAACTGATTGGATGAGGCCCACCGACATTACGGAGGGTAATCTGCTTTACTCGAAGTCCATCAATTTAAATGTTAATCTTATCCAAAAAAATCTTCACAGATACATCCAGAATAATGTTTGATCAAAAATCTGGGCACCACGATCCAGCTAAGTTGACACATAAAATTAACCATCATGTATACTTTGCAAATTAATTTATAACAACAAACAATTGAAAGCAACTTAAAAAATAAATTACGTTAATGCACAAGATGGAACGGTAGATGGCGATTAAAGGTGATAATGTATATATACTAACTCACAAGTAGGAGTGGTTTTACATGGATGTTTTTCCACAAAAATTGCAGTTCACACAAGAATATGTAAAGCATAGTTCCAATATTTTTTACAATTATTACATGCAAATCCTATGGCTATTCCCTTATTCTCTAGAGTTTTCTTTGTTTCTTACTAGTCAATCCTTCAATACTATAATCTGCTTATAACTAATAATTCCTTATATTAAAATTTCCTAGCTCAAATTACTAACTACCAAGTGCTGTGATCAATACAGAATTGGTACCAGGAATGGTCTCAGGAGATTTGATACAGAATTGATACCAGGGGTGGTCTCAGGAGACAGACATGCAAAGATGGAATTTTGGGATTGGTTTGGTTGTGCTTTCAGCTTTAGTACAGTGCTGATGTCCTTGCCAGTGGTAAATAAGATGTTTGTAATCCATGGCATGAAGAGGCATCGCAATTAATCAAGCTGTCATGTATGGAGTACTAACTGAAGCATGTGCCTTGCAGGCCCAAGAGACTGCTGCACTTGACTGTTATGGCAGCAATGATGACCATAAGGATTGTGATGTGGGAGAAATTCTTTTGAGTACACCTGAGCACTTACAAAGAGAAAATGACAAACTCAGGTCTGTCATCTCTTGGCAGAAATCATGGTTTGAGAACCAGACAACTTCCATGGCAGTCCTAAAAGAAGCTCTTATACTTTGTTGCCATAAGGCTGACATTGCTGACATTCAAACACAAAATTTAATTGTGCAGGACTTCTCGTTCTGGGCAAGATGGAATGGTCCCATTCCTTATAACTGTTCTCTCTTACAATGAAAATATCCTGGACATAACACAACAAAACAAGCACAGAAAGACTGTGAAAGGTGGAAAGAAGGCAGACTGCCTATGGACTTGAGTACTTGAGCAATGGTGGTGATTAACATTGGTTTTCTTCTTACCTGGTATATATCTCAGACAAGGTACTGCAGAAGCCTCCAATAGATTTAAAAAAAGCCTTTTTCCTCTAGCCTAAGGACCCAGAAAAGAGTGGCCTAAGAGCTAAGAGAACCCACCCACCCACTCCCTGCTCTTTGGTAACAGATAGTGGTGCTCTGATTCCCCTACAAATCCTTCATTCCCTTCCTGGTGGAAGCAGGTGGTGTTCCAAACTCCCCTTCTGGGTGATATTGACAACCTAAGCAGGGAGCTGATCTTCCATCCCCACTCAACAAGAAGCAGAAGGTGTTCTGATTAACCTACCAGGGTAGCATCAATGGGGCTGAGCCAGGAGTTGATCTGGCATCTCCCACCTGGTGAAAGCAGGTGGTGTTTTGATTTCCCTGCTAGTGTAATGAAGAGGTGTCCAGTGGTGAGCTAAGCCTCCACCCCTACCTGCAATCAGTTAGACTGAACAAGGCAGTGCAACTCGGCACTCCACTTTCTTTCCACCTCTGGTGTCAGTGAGGCCCAGTGGGTAGCTGAACCTACTTAGCCACCTGGCAGCAATGATATTAAACAAGGCAACTTAATGCAGGGCTGGTCAGCAATTTGGTGCCTCCATCCACCTAATATTAGGGGAGCCCAGTGAGCAGCTAAGCTTCTACCCCCACT